GATAATGAATGAATGAGCATGGGAACCATTTATTTTGTTATCTTGTTTTCTACTTCACTATTATTTTATTGTGCCTATGCAGAGAGAGCAGAGAGACTCTGCTTGATGTTCACATTGAGAAAAATTTCCTTTGAAACCCCAATCAATAATATAACATCTGTGTATGAAAAATTTATGGTACAAAATGTTTATGTTTTATCTTGCATAAGCAAAATAAAGAGGGCTACTTATATAACCACTAGTTAAATTTAATATGCTACCCATCTGGGCCTTTTTTTCTCAATTAGGAAGCAGCATTTTAAAAGTGAATAAATATATTCTAGAGGCACCTGGGTGGCTCAGTCAGTTAAGCATCCAACTCTTGGTCTTAGCTCAGGTTGTGATCTCAGGGTCATAAGATGGGGCCTGCATGGGGCTCTCTGCTCAGTGTGGAGTCCGCTTGAGATTCTCTCTCACCCTCTCCCTCTGTCCCTCTCCCCAATCAAGCTCTCGCTCTCGCTCTCTCAAAATAAATGAATAAAATATTTTTTAAAAAATAAGACATTCTAAAAGAGAGAGAGATAAAAACAAATGAATATATTTGGTCCCTTCAATTTATATTACACTGTATTCAATTAGGATTAGGAAGAAAAATAATTTTAAGAGTTTGGTACCACGTGGAAAGATTTTAACCTTAATGAAGTATCAGAGACAATATGTGTCAACAGCAGAACACTAAGCAAGAGCTACTGTGGATAATCCACTAATATCAGAAAGGGAGATATAAAATAAGGGACCAGGATATATCTTCAGAGTTTTTAGTTGTACCTAGTGGGCTAAATAGGGAAAAGTATGTCGATTTCATCTTTCCAAAGTGCAACAGAAATAGGATGTAAATGTGTGGATAGGTGAGAAAAAATCCACAAATAAGAAGTAAGAAAATAAGAAATCAAAATTCCTGGGGCACCTGGGTGGCTCAGATGGTTAAGCGTCTGCCTTCAGCTTGGGTCATGATCCCAGGGTCCTGGGGTCAAGCCCCACATCAGGCTCTTGGCTCAGCAGGGAGCCTGCTTCTCCCTCTCCCTTTGCCTCTCTCCCTGCTCATGCTCTCCCTCGCTCTCTGCATCTCTGTCTCAAATGAATAAATAAAATCTTTAAAAAAAATATCACCTAGATTTGTACTCATGTTTCTTTCTAAAAAAAAGAAATCAAAATTCCTAGAAGTTTGAAACTGAAATGTTGGTAATATGTTTTTTAGAACAATACAGGATAAAACAGTTATTCTCCCTTGGATTAATGTGTATCCCAAAAATGCTGGCCTAAAAAAAAATGTAAAAGGAGTGTTTCCTGATTATGGGCTTGCTTTCAAGCAGCAACCAGACTGTAGAAAGAAGTAATGATTTTTTGACTCACGATGCCAGTTAATTTCCATTCTAAACAAACTTTTCATTTCAAGTTTGAAGGGCCTTGGTCTTAAATATGGAGAACAGATGAAATGTATGTGTTACACATATGCATATACTGAGACCTATATCCATTCACCCAGCGACTTGGTGCTCAGAGAATCCACCTCCTCAAACATGGGCCAGAAGACCCAATTATGTAAATATTCTGGGGCTTTTTGTCAATGTTGCATTTCAAATTTCTTTGACCAAATTTCTACAATGAGAAGCTTACTTCTGGAAAAAATGAAGCAGATTAAGAAATAGGGAGAATACGCTGGTCAAGTGAAAACAATACTATTATGGAATTGGTAAGTATTAGTTTAAAAACTTGCCTATCATAAATGGGGATCATCAATGTTAAAAAAATTGTGATGTTTGATATTAAAATACTGTTTTTTCCAATTCAAGCAATATTGCTGAAAATTTGCTACAGTTCTTCAATAAACTCTCAAGGTGATAGACCAGGTCAGCAATGTCAAAGACTCACTACTGGCCCCATTTGATTTCTGGATTCAAACTCATTAGCTGGGTGGCCTTGGTAAGTGGCCTAACTTGCTGGCAATCTGACTCTGAGTGTGCACCTCTGAAAAACTGAACTAAATGACAACATACGTAAGAAATTATTTTAAGAATGTTTGAGGTTATTTTGTAACCTTGAGCAAGGTAAATTCTCTAAGGCTCTTTCCTTTAAAAGTAGACAAAAATGTATATAGATCTTAAAACAAAAAAAGTAATAAAAAGAAGTATGTTAACTATACTGGAACTAAAATAAAAAACTTAATAAAAATAAAAGCAATATTAAAAAAGAATATATAGATCATCAGTGTTGATGTTAAGTGAGATCTTATATTTTAATGGCCCAGCACTACAAATGTGACATATTTGAAGTTATCAGTAAATGATAGTTATTATAATAGACATTATATCTGTAAAAATGAGCAAACAACTAGAAATTTATGTTTAGATAAGTAAAATATAGCTTAAAATTACCTTTTTGTCTATCAGGGAAATATTAAAAATAATAATATATACTGTTGGCTACAGAATAATGAAATGAGAATGTTTATGCACTGCAGGTGAGTGAGAATGTAAATTGATATAATTTTTCTAAAGGACAATTTGTCAATGTGTATAAAAGATTTAAATAATAAACATTCTCTTGACAAGCCATACCATTTCTAGGAATTTACCCCAAGCCATTTTAAATGTCCAAAGATGAATGTGCACATACAAACTGCAATATTGATTATATATCTTAAAAAAACCCTATTTTTATTTTTTATTTTTTTAAGATTTTATTTATTTATTTGAGATAGCAGAATCGGTTGGGGGGGAGCGGCAGAGGGAAAGGGAGAAGCAGACTCCCCTCTGAACAGGGAGTCTGAGATGGGGCTCAATCCCAGGACCTTGGGATCATGACCTGAGCCAAAGGCAGACACTTAACTGACTGAGCCACCCAGTCACTCCAAAAACCTGATATTTAGAAATAGGTTATACTTGAATTAAGGTATGGTACAATCACTCAATGGCTTTTATGAAAACATATTACACATTATGATACGATTTTAGACACCTAAACATAGCCAGTGTAAAACAATAATGCCAACACAGAGTGATTATTTGTCTTCTTTTCTAAGGAAAGAAAAAAGCTTCTATCCTAATTTAAAACTGAAATGAACACATATATGCTCATATATACCACACACACACACACACACACACACAAGCTCATTGTTTCTATTAAGAATCTCAGTATTTTAGTTAATATTTTATTTGTTTTCTTTTGAACAAAGTTTTCTTTCTGAAATGTAATCCAATTGAATATACCACTTACGTGCACATAGCCAATTCATGTCTTTCATTTGCTTTCAGCTTTCAGTCCTCTATTAAGAATTTTTAATCATAAAATCATATATCATAGTACTTGAGTGTCTTGTGGGAGATTACCTTTTGGTGGATAAAAGGTTTGAATCCTAATCTAAGAAACATAGTTGAGCTGTATCGATATGAAACACCTAATACAAGGCCACATAATTAATAAATGAGTCTCTGAACTTTTTACTAAATCAAACTAAAAAATTGTACATCAGAGATCCTATGTTGCTATGGCTCCCAGTGCATCTAAAAATGATGATGTTAAGATCATGTCCTCGGCTTTTCAGGAGAGTTATAATAAATATCCAGATGTGTCTTTTTCTGTTTTTATCTCTAACTGCTAGGTAAGCTTTTATACATGATGTGCAAAGCTTAATGTAAGATGTTCTCAGATCTCAGGACCAAGAAAAGGTGGCGCCTCTCCTGATGGTTTGATTCCTTTTAGAAAACAGCCATCACACAAACCACTATTTTCCCTTTTGACCTAACTGGTAGGAAGAATTGTTTCATTGAAACAAACATCAGCCTTTCTCTTAACGGATCTCTCCATATGCCTTTCCTTACCCACCATCCCTTCACGTGACTCATGGAAGAGAGGGCAAGGAACAGTGCTGATGCAATCAGGAAGAGCTATTTCTCCTTAACAACTTAGTGGAACTCCCTAAATCAAGGCATGCTGCCTCTGGCAAGTTTTCCCTTGCAGTGTGTGAGCTTTTCAAAAATCCCATGTGATGACTTTTATTATTCTTACTTCCATTATTTCAATCAATCTGTAAACTGAAACTTAGAGAGGCATAAGGAGTTGACCAGAATAAAGTAATCAGTAATGGAGCTGCTCCTGGCTCCAAAATCTATGATTTATGCATTTTCCACTGCACTATGTTCTTCTGATATAAAAATATACTGTAGTGTGAGTTCAGTCTTTACAGATCTTTATAAAGAAGAAACCATCTAATACAAATCTCCTTCCTCCCAGCCTACATTTCCTGAATTGCTCCTACACACGGGTATCCAAGACATTCTTCCAGGATTATGATACAAAATAAGTAATTTATGATTTCCCACTTTTAGGGCACTAACACTATTTTCTATGCAGTGCAAATAATTCAATCCTCTATCTATAAGAACAATAATTCCTCCTTTATTAACATGACAGAGAAAACAGAATTTACAATCTGTGAAAATTCTTCTGGTGGTGACTGCGGTAGAAGTGTTGGAAATAAATGTTCCCACCATTTTATGTGCCATACCTAAGAAATGAATTAACTCACAAGAGTGAGGTCACCCTGCCTTGTCTCTCACTGTTGCTAGCTGCCAACAGCTGTGTTAATTCCACCAGAAACTGCATGCTACACATTTGTAAGTCATTGGTCCTTACGATAACTTAACACATTAGATCCAGCAGCCAACTGAACCTTTAGTAAGTATTTACTCACAGCTAGAATTGTATTGGCTATAAGGTGGTTTTTTCATCAAATATTTTGTCTTTATAATAGTCAGATAATTCCAATCTAGTGATGAGTCAGTATCATCCCATAGCATTTTAAGTCATATATTAACTGATTATATTATTTTTGATTTTCAGTAGCATCCTTCTTCATAAAGTAACCAACGATGCCTCTGTTATACTTCTTAAAATAGTATATCACTTAATAATCTTCAGGTATGTTTTGGCATTATAATCTTTATCCAATATCTTACCTCAGCTCTTAACTGGAAGATCAGTCTATCCTTGCTGTTTTGAGATTTTGATTCTTCCTTTATATCTCCTGATAGTTCTTCCATTTCATTTTCATGCTGACCAGGAATAATGTTAAACTGAAAAAAAAAAAAAGGTTAAAATTATAATCACATGATGCTCCAAAGGCTGGCTCCAGGATAATCCACATTAGTCTTTCGTTTTGCTTTTAGTTTAGTTTAGTTTTTTGTTCATTTGTTTTTTATGTGCATTCTGGCAGGTTTTATTGTTGCTGTGGTAATTAATGTAGTTAAACCATTTATTTCTTATATTTGAAAAATTCTTGGTTATTAGAAAACAAATCAGCAAATTTCCATAAATTCAAACTCATCAATTGAAAAAATTGGCCAAAACTTGGTTACCACAAAGAATCCTGGTAATTGAACAACTGGATTCTAAACAAATCCAACTGATTTTTTTTTTAAGATTTTACTTATTTATTTGACAGAGAGAGAGAGAGACACAGTGAGAGAGGGAACACAAGCAGGGGGAGTGGGAGAGGGAGAAGCAGGCTTCCTGCCAAGCAGGGAGCCCAATGTGGGGCTCGATCCCAGGACCCTGAGACAATGACCTGAGCAAAAGGCAGACGCTTAATGACTGAGCCACCCAGGTGCCCCAATTAATACCGATCTTACAGTCTTGAATATCTGTAATACAGGACCCTTTGTAATCCTATTTAATGTCTATTTTTTATGAAGTCTAAGGAGTATATAGATTATAACAGAGGCAAACTTGGGCAATGGAAAAATACATCTATACAATGCTAGACCTGGTAAAAATATGTTTATTAAAGATGCCAATAAATTAACAGCAAAACAGGATAAATAAACTATGGCATATCCAGATAATGGAATATTATTCAGCACTAAAAAGCCAAGAAAAGACATGGAGGAAACTTAAATATATATTACTAAGTGAAAGAAGCCAATCTGAAAAGGCTACTTACTGTATAATTCTAATTATGTGACATTCTGGAAAAGGCAAAACCATGGAGAAAATATAAAATCAGTGGTTTTCAGGGCTGCAGGGAGGAAGAGATGAATAGGTGGAGCACAGAGATTTTTAGGGAAGCAAAACTATTTGGTATATCACTGGTGGATACATGTCATTATACATTTGTCTAAACCCAGAGAATGCACAACACCAAGAGTGCACTCTAAGGTAAACTATGGACAGTGATGTGTCAGTGTCGGTTCATCACTTGTCACAAATGTACCACTATGGCGGAGGACACAGATAATAGAGAAAGGTGTGCTTAAGTGGAGACAGGGAGCATACGGGGAATGTATGTATCTTCCACTCAATTTTGCTGTGAATCTAAAACTGCTCTAAAAAATTATCTATAAAAAGAAACATAGGAATGTGAGAAAAATCCTGGAAATGCACAGTAATTTTCCCCCTACCTGTTCTTATAGTTTTCAGCAGAAACACAAATTTTGATAAACCTATATAATGTGTAATACACACACATATGTTTGTTTTGTTAACTTATATTTTCCCCTAAAATATGTAGGTAAATATTTTCAGAATTTATATAATTTGTAAGTAATCCCACAATAAATTAGAAAATACAAGCAAACATTATACTATTTATCATTAAAAATATTACTCATAACATTACCATTGTTAATAGTAATATTAAGTATGTACTAGTCTCTAGGAACTGGACTTGATATATATTTCCTTAGTTAAAGGTAGAGTAATCCTGTGTTAGGTACTATCTTTACCTTAAAGAAAAATAAGCCGTATTTTTACTAGGCTTAAGTAACTTCCCCAAATTCACAAAGCTAGTAATTGGAAGAAGCACATTTTAAGGATGTTCTTGCCAAATTCATTACCTGAGTTCTTAATCATAAACCAGCAGCTAGCTACATCTATAATTATAAAGATAAAAGCCATTGTATAGCTTACTGAAAGGCAAAAAGCTTATAGCCACATGCTAGAAATGGACTACAACGGTGTTGGGGGCTGATATGCCAAGTACAGAGAGGCTCCTTGTTCAGAGGTAGTAACCTGGAGAACGCACCATGGAAGGCAAGTGTGGAACAGGACACAATACCATGGGGTTCAGTCAAAGTCTATGCATGTTTCACCCCACCTTCCAATGTGGCATTCATCTCTGGCTAAAATAAAATAAAATAAAATAGAAGTCACTTTGCTAAAGAAAATAATGAATTGCAAGGATAAGATCAAAGCAATCAAAGCATCAGGTTTTGGTTTGAGTTCACCAAAGTAAAATCCAACTCATTCGGGTAATTGAATGCCCTTAGTTTAACTTCTGAAATCATGACCATTAATTCTCAGAGAATCAGATCAATCAATAAGCTCTCTCACTGTCAATAGGACTGCAATCAATGTTACCACACAAAGGAGAGAGGAGGCAGGAAAATAAATTTTCATACATAGCAGTATGGGAAATCCACACCAATTACCTAAAATAATTCCATTTTCATTTTTTGCTGACAGTGGAAAATCAAGGATCTCTGGACATGTGAAGAAACCAAGAACATGAATAAAATAGCCAAGATTCAAAAACACAATGTCTGATAGCAAAAAAAAAAAAGACAGATGAATGGTATATTTTAAGATATGAAAGAAAATGTAATTAAAAATCTAATCATTATGTTTGGAAAAAATGAATATATATTGCACTCATAAATTAAGGACAGAACAATTTCAAAATTTCAAAGAACAATAAAAGAAACATTTTAAAATGTGTCTAGTAATCCCTTCCTTTAGAAAAGTTTGCTAAAAATGTTGGAAAATACAGTCAGAGGTTGAAGTGTGTCAAAGCTCCAGTTCTTGGACCTGTTCGCTTGATGAATTCACTCCTTTGGACAGATGATGTGCACCCATAGCATTGCATACTAGTCAAAATTCTGACAATCTCCAAATGTCTAGTTCCATCCTGTAGGTCTCCTTTGTGAACTTCGGACTCAACTTCCTACTTGTCACTTCTATAGGTATCCCACACTTAGCACGTTACAAAGACAAATTAAGAACTCCCCTAAACCAGTTTCTCTGACAGTCTTTGCCATTTCAGTAAGTATCAACTCTATCCTTCCCTTTGATCAGGACAAAGATACTGGATTTATTTTTAACTCCTTTCTTTCTCTGACATATCATATCCAAACTAAAATCAAAATAATTCAATTTTGCTTTCAAAATATATAATAAATCCAACCACTTCTCTACCTCTAACTACTACTGCCCTGATCAAACACCACCATGGTCTCTCACATCAGTTATTTTAATAGCTGCCATAATCTCTGCTTCTCTGTGTAGCTCTGTAGTCCCTTTCCCAAAACAGCAGTCAAATAAAGCATTTACAAAGTAATTCAAATCATGTAACTCAGCTGCTCAAATATTTCCAGTGGCCACCCAATCCATTCAGAGTATAAGTCAAAGTCCTTACCATCTGCCTGGTCCCGGAACCCCTCAATGCTCTTCTCCTACCCCTTATTCTATCAGTCACTCTGGCCTCCTCACTGTTCCTATACACTCCACGCAGGAAACAGCAAAAAATAAAGATAAAAACAGTAAATGAAATATTGTACAGTGAAGGCAACTGAAACAATATAACAGGAAAAAAAAAACCCGATGGCCAGTTAATAAAACAACTATAATTTTCCTTATGAAAATTGGAGTTATTTTGATCATTTTAAAATTATACTTTGGACTCAAAATCACCTTAATTTTGCCACTTTACCCTATTCAACCTCAGATTCAGATCATTGGAGTTATAACTAAAATCTAATCAGCAGCTGAAAAGTTGAAAGCTGTAGATGTGTAGATGTTAAAGATTATTCATTTAGCAGAATTATGAATGTCATCCACAGGTGATATATCACATTACTTAAATTGAAAGTGACAGAAATAGAAGGTACCTGAGGAAGTGAATGCGTCAGCATCAGAAAGCATTTTCCAAGTTCAGGTCCTTTTATTTAATAATTATTTAAGTATAGTCTCTTGTAAGACTTTTTTTTTCTGAAATTGCATCATAATATAATTCCAAAATTCCTCTTTAAAATTCCTCTTTTCATACTGCAGTAGTTGTGAAAGGTTAAACCAGGCAACTTGTCACATCTCTGACTTCAGAAATATTTGCCATAATTTGCTTCTGGAAAATTAGCAACACTATATGTAAATATTTATCCTCCTACATTCAAATTAGCATGGAATGGAAAGTCGTTTTGAAGATGATTCTGGAAAATAAAAATATTGTGTAATTTACAAATAAAAATATTTTCTTACTCAGATCAAGTAGGAAAAGAAAATTTCATTTCAAAAATGGCACAAAAATATAATCTAAGACATCCTGTTATTTTGATCTTGCCTCACATTTTATCCTTCAAAATAATCTAAGATGATTAGGTCGTTATTGCTTATCCCAAAGATCTAGCTTTTGTAAAATATTGTGTTCAATATTTACATCAATATTATTAATACAACATAATTCAATCTCTTTAAACACCAAACCCATGATTTCTCCCACAACTCTCAACAAACGACCTTGCAGTTTCATTCATGGAAAAGCAGAAAAGCTATACATAGGAAAGATCTTCAACTTCTTGTAACGTAATTTACAAATTTTCATGCATCTCTACAAATCTTTCCTTCTTTCCTCTTGTTAAAGAACTTAAATACCCTTCCTAGAGTCAAACACTAATCATTCCATTTGCAGTCAGGATTTGGTACCTTTGGGGTACTTGGCTAAACTCAAAGAATTGTTCCTCTCCTGGTTTCACTTATTTGTGGAACAGAAGGAATAGCATGGAGGACACTAGGAGAAGGAAGGGAAAAATGAAGGGGGGGAATTGGAGGGGAAAACGAACCAGGAGAGACGATCGATTCTGAGAAACAAACTGAGGGTTCTAGAGGGGAGGGGGGAAGGGGGGATGGGTTAGCCCAGTGATGGGTATCAAGGAGGGCACGTATTGCGTGGAGCACTGGGTGTTATACACAAACAATGAATCATGGATCACTACATCAAAAACTAATGATGAACGGTATGGTGACTAATAAAAAAAATAGAACTGTTCCTCTCCTGGATTTTCACGATCTCTTGGTTTCTCCCTCA